CTGATTAAGCTAACATATATTATCCAAACTGTAGATTAATCCGGGAGCTGAGGAACTGTGTCAATCTTTCCCTGAGGAAGTTCAACCGATTTTAAAGCATATCATGTCCAAATGTGGCGGGCTTCCAGAAGTAATAGTTGCTGCAGGAAAAATTGCTGGCCCATACTCAGAGAGAATTAGTTCCTTGGAGTTTTGCAATGCTGAATTGATGGAAATGTTGGAGAAGTCGTTAAGTTTTCCTAGTTTAAAGGGTCTTTTTTGTTGGATGCAATCCTATTTTGATGCCTGCTCAGATGAACTCAAGCCATGTATCTTCTATATGTCAGTATTCCCTGTGGACCAAAGCATTAGACGGAGGCGTTTGCTCAGGCGGTGGATTGCAGAGGGATACTCCTCCGGTGGTGGTGGTACTGCAGAGGAGAAGGGAGAAAAGCTCTTCTCCGAACTCATGAAGTTGAGCATATTATACCCGGATCAGCGGACATCATCAACGGCAAGAAGCTGGATGGTCAATGGTTTCTTCTGTGAATACATCAAGTCAAGGCCAATGGAAGATAATCTTGTGTTTGCACTAGAGGGGAGTTGCAGCCCCAGCTCACGACTCACTGGACAACACCTCACCATAAGCAGCTGTTGGGACAGGGATGAGATTGTCTTCAAGAGCATGGACTTGTCACGACTACGGTCTTTGACAGTGTTTGGGAAGTGGGTGCCATTCCTAGTCTCGGACAAGATGAAGGTGCTTCGAGTGCTTGATCTGGAGGGCACAAGTAGTACTTCAGATGGTACTGCAAGTGTAACTGATGATGTTCTGGAGAAGATCGTGAAGCAGTTTCCTCGCCTCAAGTTCATGTCCCTGCGTGGATGCATGGAAGTCACTCGTCTCCCCGATTCATTGGGTGACATGGGTCAGCTGGAGACTTTGGATGCCAGGCACACCTCCATAGTGGAGCTGCCACCTGCTGTCATCACCAAGCTACACAAGCTGCAGTACATTCGTGCTGGCACCACCGAAGCAAGACGACTACAGGTAGCGGCGGCAGCAGCAGCAACAACGCCTCCACCAACAACACAAGAAGACGTTCATAGTGGCACAAGCCCCTTCCAACGGGCATCAACTAGAATTATTGGAGCATGGAACAGGACGGCACATGCTTTGGTGGAATCCAGCAGCAGCTGCAGCTGGTGGGAGTCCAAGAAGCAGCGCAGGCGCCGGGTTCGTGTTGCTGCAAATGGCGACGGTATTGAGGTTGTTTGTGCTGCCGCAGAGGGGATTGGGAAGCTGACAGAGTTGCATACACTCGGTGTTGTGAATATTGCAGGCGGGAAAGGTGGCCTCCTCCTCCTCAAGGAGCTCGGGAATCTCACCCAGCTGCGCAAGCTCGGGTTATCAGGCATCAGCAGTATAAACTGGAAGGAGTTGTGCAATGCCATCTCGGGTCACCTCCCTCATCTCGAGTCCTTGTCACTGCAACTGCTGCTGGTGGAGGAGGACGAAAGCTATAAGTTTGCTTGTTTCTTTGACATCTCCATGCCACCCAAGACCCTGAAGAGCCTTAAGGTGTTGTACACTACTGCTGTATGTGCAGGCGCATTTGGTGCATGCATCAAGCCAGCCTGGATCAGTCAGCTTCCCAATCTCAAAAAGTTGAACCATGAGTCTACAGTGTCAAATCAAGAGGATATAGATTTGATGTTGAGCAATGGATTTCCAGCTGGACTGCTAGAAAAGCGTCTTCGTATCAAGCCGATTCAACAGCGTCTCAGTTTCGCAAAGCAGACGCCTGGGGTAGTATTCCTCGCCGAACTCATGATTGACTGCGGCAGCAGGAGATCAATGGTGACTTTTGGAGAATCGCCCAACTTTTCTGTTCAAGTGGTCAGCATCCACTGCTGCAACTCTTGTGATGGATGGTCGTGTTTGCAGATTGTTGGGCTGCAGAATATAGGTGCGCTCAAACAAGTCTTGGTAACAGGCCCATGCAGCGAAGAATTCAAGGAAGACTTGCGCAGGCAACTTGTGGAGCGTGAAGACAAGCCTGAGCTGAAGCTGTTGCCTCATAATGGTGATCAATAGTAGTAGTAGTAGTAGTACAGTGTTGCTTGTTTGTTGGTTACTCGTGTATGCGGCAAATTAGCTATTCATCCACCCGGCCCTCTTGCAAATTTTATCCTATTTACATCGTCATGTTCCATTTCACACAAAGCGCAATAGCAGTGTGTTGTAATCTTGTTGTAACCTTTTCACCCACTTCATGCTCATAAAAAATGTGTTACAACCATAGTTTTAAATAGCGGGCTTGCCACTTAGTGACGGATCTCTTCTAGACGCTATAGAGTGATACAGCGATGGTATATCACGCTATTAAAAATATTTATTCATGTGGTTGGATCAAAGTTCGTAAGTGCAGGACCTCTTTTAAACGCTATAGCATGCTACTTAGTACCGTGGTTACAGCTTACATCTTAAGTTTGCGTACTGACAGTGCCTTCAAAGTGCAAAACATAATACTGTGATCATACAGACAATTGATACATGATAGGAATCGTGGGAACCATTGCTCATCGAATT